ATTTTCCAGCCGTGCCATCAGCTCTTCAATAGTCTGTCGTGAATCATCGTCCTTGTGTAAGGGAACTGGTTGTTACTTTTGCGGCAGGCTTTCCACTGTATCTCATGTTCTGGTTCGTTTTGCTATGTTGGGAGAGCTCAAAGGTTGACGGAGCGTAGCCGTGCTGAATGTTGTAACAATTAGTGTATGTATCCTTGTAATTCAGAATCGAATAACCAACCGGTCCTGTTCCAACATTCGTTTGCTCTAAGACAGCCTTCATATTTTTTCCTTGCCCTTATGTACCCCACTGGTTGACTCTATGAAACACGAGACAAAGGGTATGAGGCAACAACACACAACATGGGAGGTATTTTCGTGAGGACAGAAATAGCACGAGGCCAAACTCAACGTATATCCTTCCTACGAACAAACAAGCTAATAACCACATCAAAGACTCGAACGACGTTTTCTGCGCGGAAAAAAGGGTTCGAAATGAGAAATGACGGATTTCCAAGTTCCAAGTTCGAACGATATGTAGCGAGAAAAGGAAGACGTTCATTTTTTGTGTATTATTCTATCCTGGACAATTGGCCGTCGTATCTGCTGAATTCACCAAGATTTAACGTCGGCGCCAGTTCCACACTGTTTGCAAAAGCGAGGCAGGAACGGATTGCCAAGGTTTGTGGGATTTATCTATCTAGAGAGAGTTAGCTGGAGTTAGCGCTCATCTTTGCGCCAGTGCGCCTGGTTGTTCTAAAGCAGCGCCCATGCATATTTGAGTATATTTGACAACGACATGCAGTCCCTCTTAGCTCAGTGGTAGAGCGCGTCACTAGTACACTTCACCGTGTATGACGAGGTCAGTCGTTCAAGTCGGCTAGAGGGAATTCGAGCTCGTGGTCGGACCATTTTTTTTGTACCGGAGGCACTCATAGGCACCTGTGTTTTGTCCTGACTCCCTCAATTTTAGAATCTTGGCTTCGCCGCAGTTTTTATTCAGGAATACTATGATCATGAAGGTGTGAATATCTAATGGCATTTGTCAGGGTCGAACGCGACTTTGTTGGTTGGAACCATCACGTGATTGATGGACAAAACGCGTTTGCCATGCGTTGCCGTGTTCAACTTTACACTCCCTCCTCACCGTTCAGGACGGTCATCTCAAGGTCATCCAGCGACCACAACGGGCGTTAGGCTCCATGTATCAACAACAGACTTACTCCAGGGTGCCTGCTGCGCCTCAACCCGCCCCCATCCTGCGCAGGCACCCGCTCACCAACGCCGTCAACCACCAGGCCAACCACCAAGTCAACCACCACCAACAGACCCCTCCGAAGCCGCCTCCGAAGGCTCCTGCCTCGCCACCCTGCCCAGGCAGAACAGCAAGACGACACCGCCCTCGCCACCGAAGGTCATTACCGACAAGACAGGGAGGCTGCAGTTCAATCGTGTTGGTTTTCTGGGCGAGGTGAGGCGCTCGTTCAGCGTGATACACTTCCAATATTGAATGTATTTTAGGGCGGTTTGCGCGAGTTTATGAAGTCAAAGACGTCCGAGGATATCGTCTTGCATGCAAGGTTGTTACGAAGTCATCTCTCAAAACGAAGAAAGCTAAAACAAAAGTAAGTTGCTTCCAATTTCCTTTTAATGTAATATAACATTTTCCATATAGCTTTACGCAGAAATTAAAATCCACCGTTCGCTACAACACCCCAACATTGTAAACTTCCAGGAATGCTTCGAAGACAACGATAACGTTTACATGACACTCGAACTCTGCCCTTCAGGCTCTCTTATGGATATGTTACGTCGTCGGCGCAGGTTTACTGAGCCGGAAGCGCGCTTCTTCATGGTCCAGCTTATTGGTGCATGTCACTACATGCACACGCACCAGGTTATCCATAGGGATCTCAAACTTGGCAACTTGTTCCTTGACGTGAATATGAATGTCAAAGTGGGCGACTTTGGTCTTGCTGCTCTGATTGAGAACCCGGGGAGAGGAAGAAAACCATCTGTGGGACGCCAAACTACATCGCGCCCGAGGTACTTTTCGATACCGCTAATGGCCACAGCTTTGAGTGGATACGTGGTCGATTGGTGTCATTCTGTACACCCTTGTCGTTGGCCGTCCACCTTTCCAAACGAAGGACGTCAAGGCGATATACAAGTAAGTCTCTTTATATACGAAAAGGCGTCATCTTAATTTTTTCTTCTCCAAGGCGTATTCGCGACAACGAATATGAATTCCCAACCGAGCGCGTTATTTCTTCGGCCGTACAACACCTTATTCAACAAATCCTCACTCCAGACCCCTCGCAACGGCCGACTCTCCACGAAATGTCGACCATGCCTTTTTACCCAAGGCCCTGTCCCCTCCTATATTCCAACATCTGCCCACGACGCCGCCCCGACTTCCGTCACATTTCCAAATCAGCATCCGACGCCAACCTCAAGCGTCTTCGCAAATACTCCCTGCTAGACGCCGACGCTGCTACCCTAGGCGCTGCAGCTCTCCCCCAGAGCAACTCAACGGGCGCCGGCAACGCGCTCGCCGCGAGCAAGAGCATCACCACGAGCATCGCGCAACAGGAGAAGGAGTTCCAGAAGGCCGTCCAGCCCGGATCGCCGATCTCGGCGCTTCTGTCGTCCGCGCGCCAGCCGCTGCTCATGGGCACGGCCGCGCCGTCCGCTGGGGGCGGGGGCGCCGGCGCCCCCCGCGAGAGCCCGCTGCTCCGCAAGTTGCAGGCGGTGAAGGAAAGCCCGCTGGGCCGGCGCAGCGTCACGCGCGGCCTCGACGGGATTGTGGAGGAGGACCGCAACTTCGGCTCTCTGCAGGGCCGGAGGAGGGGCGGTGCGCTGGCGGAGGAGGGCGAGCAGGAGGAGGAGGAGATGCGGCTGCGGAAGAAGGAGCTCGAGGCGCAGAAGGCGCGGATCGTTGCCCAGATGGCGCCTGTGAGGGAGGAGCAGGAACATGAGTACGAGCGTGAACGGGATATGGACGAGGACGAGGAGCCGATGCCCCCTATGAGCCGCGGAGAAACCGCGCGAAGCGTATGTCGCTGTTGGAAGGGAGAAGCAGTACCGCGGGCGGGTGCTACTGCTATCACCCATAAGTACAACTCGCGGATGCGTTCTCAGACGACGGCGTCGGAGAAGGAAAATGTGCACGTTACAGGTTAGTTTTTCTTTTTCGCCGCTTTTGCAAAGGGGATCTGACCATCATATTCTATCTACAGCACATACACATGCTGCGCTGGCTCCACCAGCGCCTGTCGCGACTCCAGCCAAACTCAACGGTTTCGATGCGGCCGCACATACCCTGACGATGGCTTTCGAGGCGAAGGCGGCGGGCCGGGTTTTCCGTACGCCCGAAGATATGCTTCCGTTGCCTGATGAGCGTGTATTCATCGTGAGCTGGGTGGATTATTGCAACAAGTACGGGATGGGGTACGCGCTCACCGATGGGAGCGTGGGTGTGCATTTCAATGATAGCACGACGCTCGTGCTGAGTCCTGATAAAGTGTAGGTTCTCTTGTAGTCGAGTGTATATTCTCTGATGCTGATGAATTTGTGTTATAGGCACTTCGACTATATCACCTCACGCCGTGCCGGCTCAGTGTATGTACGCAAGGCGTACACCGTTGAGGTTTACCCCGAGGAGCTCAAAAGCAAGGTGTACCTGCTCAAGCACTTCGAGCGGTATATTATGGACCGGCTCTATGGCGAGTACGCGTACACATTCGAGGATGTTGGCCGCGAGAAGGGCATGGAATGGGTACAGAAGTATCTCCGCATGAAGCATGTCATTGTGTTCAAGCTCAGCCACGACGTGTTGCAGGTACGTTTCACATGCATGTCCTCCTCTTCTGTCCGTTAATATCTGATTATTTTTGTGTCCTTCCTATGTCGTACAGTTTAACTTCTACGATCACTCCAAGCTCATTCTCTCCTCCCATGGCCTGCTCGTGACCCATATCGATAAGCACTACAAGATGACGCGCTGGCCGCTCGCAGACATCATGGCGCAGTCCATGCGCCCGCCTGCACCGAATGCCGACCCCGAGCAGGTCAAGTTCCAACAGCGCCTCGTCGACAAGCTCAAGTACTGTAAGGAGGTGCTTGTCAGCATACACACGGCGAGCGTGGCGGGCGGATCGGGTGTCCCAGAGGAGAGTGAGGCCATGGGGTCGGCTCTGGCTGGGATGGGGGCCGTCCCAGCACCCGCGATGAACGCGGCGGCTGCCACGGGTTCATTGGCGTCCAAGGCATCCAGAATGGCGCTCCGGTGAACGAGTGATGTTTCGAATGTTCCTCATTGCGGGCGTGGACGCGGTTTAGATACACGGGACGAGACGTGCTGGTAGGGTGGTTAGCGATGTTAGGTCGATAACTACCCCGAGTCTGTATAATTTATGAGAAGACGAGTCACGAGAGAGACGACGATCGATGGTGGTTGGTACAGGCCACCAACGATGTTGCGCTTCCATGCCCCCGCCGAGGCAATTTTTTTTTACCTTTTTATTCTTTATTCTTGTATACTGCACACCATCATAGGACGGGATGTGGGTACATGTATAGTCACTCGATATACCCTGGTCGTATATTTCTGATTCCTTGCCTTTCTTTCTCTTAAACGCCTGCAGACATATATACATATTCCTATTCCATACACGTAAAGTTCTAGAATCCCCATTTTAGTTTCGTTTCTCATCCCCGTTCCTGTCATTTTCCGAGTCGATGTGGCCTGTTGGCAGACATTGGCCCGTTATTTACTTTGTTCTTCCTTCAATTCCTCTATGATATCATGTTTTGAATATGTCGCACTGCTTTCTTGTCTATGTATATTTATGATTATAAAGTATCGAGCCTAAGAAGCCTATTCTTCGAGATTCAAATATGCATTCTGCAGAGGGAAGAGCGATTCAAATTTTAAGCTTTGATGAGGCGATTGAAGGCTCAGAGTCAGTACATGAAGCCCAGCTTCAGGGCCCAAAAAAATCTGTAGCAAGATGGCGAATTTCCCTCTAGCCGACTTGAACGACTGACCTCGTCATGTACTTTTGGAATTGGATTGATCTTACTTTGGATGAATACTAGTGACGCGCTCTACCACTGAGCTAAGAGGGATTAAAGTTTACCCAGTCTGATTTTTCCTTCGTATTCTGTTATACAGTCTCTGGAGTTGTCGAGGACGCGTTGATGCTTGGTGGCTGGCTGATTGAAGAGGAGGATAAAGATATTTTGCATTTCCGCTACCGCAGCCAAACTGCAGCTGTTAGCTGGATATCACACTAAGCCATCAATATTATTTTCTGAAACAAAACAAAAAGCAATATGTACAGTACAATTCAAGTTATTTCAATCTGATTAATTCATCAAGTCGTCGAGGAGATAACGATCAAAGGAACTATGAAACCCGACGTATCCAACTTTGAACTTCTGCCATGCATGGTATGCTTCTTGATCTGCCTCCAAAATTTTGCATACTCGCTCGTTAGCATCGGCGACGTCGCTTTTAAGTTTCTCAAATGCTTCCATCTTCTGAAGTCCGTGGCACCGAGCAAAGAGGGAGATATAGTTGACAGTGTCACCGGCAAGCTCTTCCTTATAAAAGGACAGAACATCACTATGGCAAATATTCCGTAAGATTGCTCATCTCACAATATTCGACTCTTATGACTTACTTTCCATGGTCTATAAAGGTTGCTGCTTCGGGTATACACTAAAACAGAGCCAGAACTTAGTGAATGGTCTTTGCTCTTAAAGTCGATCAAAATAACGTACCTGAATATAGCTTTGCATTGGGATGCTTCGAGGGAATGCCATTACTGCATAAGTTTCGGACGCGCCTGACAGCCGCCTCGTATATTTCGGATAGTCTTTTGCGTGCGACGAAGTCTGTTGTAAGCAAGCGTTAGGAATATCGACATAAAAAAGGTCATGTGAATTCAATCACCTTCATTCCTTGAGTCTGGAACTCCAGGGTAGATGCATTGATAAGATTGATTGTGGCCGACAATATGATACTGGCCACAACGGGTCATAATGGTCGGGAATGCTCAGCAATAAACTCGCCAATCCATCGAGGACGGGGTCGAGCTGCTTCTCTTTGCGAATGAATCGCTCCATAAAGACAGAAACCGTTCGACATTCCGTTCAAAAGCATCGTCGACATAGACGATGAACGCCGTGTACAGGGAAATAAAAACGCGTGTGGCTTCGTCTTCGATATGGGCGTATGCGATGGCAGCCATGATAACACCCGACGGAATGAATGGCGCAACGATGGGACGGAAGGGTCTGTGCCCATGGGGTATCCCGGTCTATGGCCACCTTGCAGCAAAGATCGTGAAAGTCTTGTGCATAAGGGGTCACGATGTAAGGCGATTTGATATTGAATAGAAGTTTTCGATGGTGCCGCGAATCGCCTCCTTTTTGCCATGCTCCATTGTAACCTTTGTAGGAATATTAGTTCGCTAGTCATACATTTCCCGACATTGAATGCTTTATTGTCTTACGTTGTTATTGATATAAGATACTGTCATTGCTCGTCGCTCAAGTGTTTCTTCAAGTGGTGGTGATGGGATAGAATAGAAGGCGTTGGAGATGAGGTTTGAATGTTTGAATGTTTGAACTTGAATCCATGCTGACTTTTATAGCTTTTCGACCGTATTAACCACATCCTATAACGGGCCTTTTTTTGCCATGCATCTAATATTTCAGTACTTTGCAAAAGTATCAGTTAGAACGCCAACCGGTCTAGACTCACATAGGCAGATAGGATCTCCGGCGCACAAGGCATAAAAGAAGGTTGCAGAAAGGAGACACATATCAGCAAATGGGCTCGCAAATCGAAGAAGTAGGCGATAGGAACACAGAATAACATACTCGCCGAACAGAAAATAGATGTATCAGAATCAATAAGCAATTGCATGATTTAAACTCTATAGTTCTACTTCTCTCAAAATAGAAATTACCTATATACACTATCATGCCGGACACCACGCAGCTTGGTCCAACTAGATAGGAATAGCCGGGTGGTTCAGTGAACGTCGCCATTAGTCTCGACCCAGAGTTATGGGGACAATCATCCATCCCACCATACATAAGTAATATTCCACCATCTAGACTGGAGTCGAGTCTATGTCGCCATCAATTTATTACACTTCGGAACCTTGATAAGGCCCCATTTGGCAAAAGAAAGATTAAGTAGACGCCCGGCGCTCGGCTTTTGTTTCTCCTTTAATACCTACAAGATTTATTGCCAATAACAGGAAGACTGGAGCTGCATTTCGGCCGCAGCACGGAATTTGGATCACTGCGATTCACAAAAATAAGCAACCCTTTCATGTATATGTTTGAAGTCGGTCAGACTCGGTCTCGTCGATTCTCGCACCCCGTTGATAAGTACAGTAGGATAGAAAGAGATAGAAAGCAACGCTCGGAGGTATAACTAGTTAGCGCACAAAAATGACCCGGAGGGTTATCTTTGAAGCTCAAGATAGCGCAAAATGTTCTGAATCCGTGCCCGACGACCTCGACGTTCTGAAGTGACTGAAACGGTTTATTGCTTCCCGCCACGGATTCAGAACGTTTTGCGCTATCTTGAGCTTCAAAGATAAGCCCTCCGGGTAATTTTTGTGCGCTAACTAGTTATACCTCCGAGCGGCGAGCATTGCTTTCTATCTCTTTCTATCCTGCTATACTTATCAACGGGTTGCGAGAATCGAGGGGGCACCATTATCTTAGCGTGGGTGAGCGTGACGCAGCGTGGACGAGCGTGCGTTATTAATAGCGTGAGCACCAATAGCGTGCGCTAGCGTGATGTCGTCAATCACTTTGTGGCCGTTCCGCATCATCCAGACTTCCCCAGCCACCAGAACGGCGTAGGCGTGTCTTAGGCTTGCCTAGTTGTATTACGAAACATAAAATAACGTTAAACAATAAAATTGAAGGACATTGAAACCTTGGGATTATGACTGTGTGTAAGCGTGGACCAGCGTGCCGCTAGCGTGCGCTTGCGTGAGTCCAGCGTGCGGCAGTGCGCTGTCCTAAATCAGTTCTGAAGCTGATTAGCGTTTTGAGTTCTCCACAGTCTCCGTCGCCACCGGAGCTGAGTCAAGAATGTCTCAACTCATGGTCGAACAACGGTGCGCCGCTGCGGGGAAATGTTCGTGAGCGTCGTGTGCGATGTTGCGGGATGTACGCAGCGGTAGCGGGCTCGACACCACGCGATGGCGATTCGATGTCGCTGGAGGTCTAGTGGATTCCTGGCAGCCAATATCAACGTAAGTACTCCTTCTTTGATATGAATTCTTACTTACTTACCTTGGCCACACCAGTCCAGTCAATTTCAACGACGTTTGCTCCTTCCAACCCCTCGAACCGCACGCGCATGATAAATTCGCCAGAGTATAGCCGCTGCCGACGACATCGAGGACGACGACGCCGCCGAAGCCACGCTCGTTGGAGCTGTCGCCACCGATCGGCTTGCTCTGTATTTGTCGATATCAGAAGACCGACGAAGATCGCAACAAATTTCGGCACTTTACTCCTCTCATGGAATGGAGGAAACACATCTCCAGAAGGGCAAAATGTCGCCCGAAAATCCAATAAGATTTTAGGCACCACTCCAATTACAGAGGGGAATACATAGCCGAAAGCCAGATATGAGGCGGGACTACAGAGTGAGGTTATATTCGTATTTGTTCCTGGTATTCTGTGAGATCCAGCGCGCGACGGCTGCGGACGGCAGAAGGAATACTCAAGGGCGACGCTTTGTGATACATTCGCGTAGCCGTAATATGTGAACTGTTCGGAGTATTCATTAAGAACATATTTCAAGAAAAGTACAGTCTAAAATATATCAGGACCTTAGCGGATGAGAAGATGAATCACAAAAAGCTACGCTGCCAGCAAGTCATCCTGCCATCAAAGCGATTCCGATGAACAAAAATAGACGTGCTCTCTAAACTGCCCGTGAGTCTCCAAATCCTTCATCTCCACGAAGTTCGAACCCTGTCCTTGTCGATGAGGCTGATAACGAGATATCCCAACAGGGAGCAGATACCAGGAACCCAGTCGACAAATGTAACGTGCACTGGTGCTTCGGCGTCTGGCGGTGTACCATAAGGTGCCGTTGCGTGCGCAGAGAGTATAGCAGCGTCCATAAATGTTCAAAACTTAATTCAGTCTGGTTATTCTTTTAATAGTACGGTGCCTATACAGTCTCTGGAGTCGAGGACCGTTGATGCAGGGCTGATTGATGAGGAGGATCGATGATATTCTCTACTTCCGCTATTTACCGCAGCCGAGAGCTGTTGGCTGGATATCACGCTAAGTCAATCAATAGGGACAGTCAGAGTTAGTGATTCTAAGTTGATTCGGTGCTTGATTCAAAGTTGAATCAACCTCGAATCAAGCTCAGCTTTGACCGCCCCGATTCTGCGGTTGATTCTGATGAGATTGATAATTGATTTTGGTCTCTCAACTCTATGTTGATTCCATGCAGGCAAGAATCAACTCAGAATCAACTCACAGAATCCTTGATTCCGTTGCAGAATAGGGACAGTCAGAGTTAGTGATTCAGCTTTGATTCAGCACATGATTCCGATTTGATTCACGGATTGATTCTGGAGGCCAGAATCGTGGGAATGGAGAATCAAAACTGAATCGCAGAATCTCCTCCAGAGGAGATTCTGCAACGGAATCAAGGATTCTGTGAGTTGATTCTGAGTTGATTCTTGCCTGCATGGAATCAACATAGAGTTGAGAGACCAAAATCAATTATCAATCTCATCAGAATCAACCGCAGAATCGGGGCGGTCAAAGCTGAGCTTGATTCGAGGTTGATTCAACTTTGATTCACGGCTCGAGAATCAACTTTGAATCAAGCACCGAATCAACTTAGAATCACTAACTCTGACTGTCCCTAATCTCCTCTGGAGGAGATTCTGCGATTCAGTTTTGATTCTCCATTCCCACGATTCTGGCCTCCAGAATCAATCCGTGAATCAAATCGGAATCATGTGCTGAATCAAAGCTGAATCACTAACTCTGACTGTCCCTAATATTGTCTTTCTAAAACAAAAATCAGTATGTACAGAACAATTCAAGTTATTTTTATC